TTTGATTTTTAATTTCTGACTTTTTTAATTGTTAGGGGTTAGGGTGTTTTTAAATTGTTAATAATTTTTTAATTGTTAAAAATTAGTTAAAAATAACTTTCTTCTCCTTGCATTCTTAAAGCTGTTGAATATCACCACCTTTCAACTTCTACAGTGTTAAAGATCGTGTTTTGTGGAGTCGATGGTCGCCAATGTCCTGAAAGGATAAGGCACGAGAAAGAAGAAGATTTTTTAAAAGAGGTAAAAAACTATGTTCTAAAGGTCAACGTATATATTTCCCAAAAACGTTCTTGATGTGCTGTGCCAAATTCTCAAGTATGCCGCATAGTGGTCACATCATCGGCATTGATCTTTTCCAATCGAGATAATTATCATGCCCCTTCTCTGCATCACCAAGAATTATGAAACTACAAATGACTAGATTCTGGTAGGATACAACTGGCGGCTGTACTCTCTCACACCTAAAACTTCTGTTAATATTGTTTGTTTAGGGGTATGATGGCCTAGTGATCGTCCTGTTACGCAGTGATCGGGTTTTCCAATATGACCTCTCGGGTGCATTGAGTGTGATGCATCGTTTAGCAATTATTTATTTATATACGCTGTTTGTATGCTGTTGATTCCTCTTCCTCTAAAATTTAGAGGAACCATCATCTAGTTCCAAAATGTTGCTGGACAAAAAAACACTCTAAAACAACCACAGAAATTACATTTAATGAAATTTACCACCTAAAATTAAGATACTTCATTCTATCAACAACTTAATTACATTACAATATTATTTTCGTTTAATGTTTAAATTATATATAACCATCTTTCACCACGACAGAAGGTGCGTTATTGTGAACACCTAACTCGTTATAGGCAAGAGGCGTATCGTTTTTTTATTGATTTCATCGGCAACCCAAGTTAAATAAAACACCAACTTTAGTGTATTTATTATCTCAGTAGATAACGGGTTAGGTGTTCACAATAATGCGGGTATTCTGGTGTACGTTATGTACTCGTCTGGCTGACCGTATTTGCATGAGCAGGTCGATAATTTTTATTCATATTTCTTACTCACACTTATTATATTGGTGACAAAAATTGATAAAACGGCTTGCATGTTTGATAGTCAGACGTATAATTTTAAATTCCTTAAGGCTTACTTAACGATACAACATATATGGAATTATATCGCCTTTATTTGTTTCATCGTCTGAACAAACCGTCGGACCGCGTGACGCGCTCCCCATGCACCGTCATTAACGCCAACCCCCCATTGTTGTAGTCTAAGTATTAGGGATATTTTTTCTTTAACAAACAACAAGGCGTATTTTGCAGCTCAACGTCTCCACAACCAACGGCATTTAGTTTTATTGCCCCATTATTTATAGAAAAATAAGAATTTTAAAAAAAGCATAAGCAAAAACTGTAGTAGAAATATTCATGGAATCAAATCGATTTAAAATACTGGAAATGATAACAGAAGAGAAGAAATGGTGCGTGGAAAACTGTGAAATGTCATTTTATAAGGTGGCCTAAAAAGAATTATGATTCAAAAAAATAGAAAACTAGTGTTTTATCAGAAAAGTCTAAAAAAGCGGCTGATAAAATACAAGTGGCGAGCAAAAAAAAGGGAGGCAACAATGGAAAGTGAGAAAAATTTTAAAGAAAGCATAAGTAAACCATATTAGAAATAGTCAGGAAAACAGCAAAAGCGTTAAAAATGGGGCACAGCAGAAAACGGTAGTAAGAGGTGTTAGAACGATGGAATGTACATTTTAGTGTGCTGCTTCACAGACTTGAAACCATGAACACAGAATCAACTGGTTTGAGGAAGAGATGGCAAGGCAAATAACATCGATGTAATATGTAAAAAAATGTAAAACCGGCAATTAATCAGATGAAGAGGAGCGAAGCACCAGTAATCTGCAATATACTGCAGAAATGACGGCAGAAACGATCATAAAGTAAAAAACACGGTGTGGAAAAAAAAGATTAATCCAAACGACTGGAAAAAAGCAACAATAATTCCTATCCACAAAAACGGGATAAAAAATATGGAACAACTCAAGAATAAACCTGTTTACAAAAATAATTTTAAATGGCATTGGTGAAACCACAGAAAGTCTTCTTCGAGAAAACCAATGCGGATTTCCAAAAGATAGCAGATCAGATCAGATTTTCCTGTCAAGACATTTAACAAAAAAAAAGATAGTTATGATCCCAGTTTATTAGCCTAAAGCAATCGTTCATTGTGGATTAGCTGTTTGAAAATCGCCCAACAAGTATGTATAAACGTTGAAGAAATGCAGGAAAAAATGATCCCAGTTTATTAGCCTCAAGCAAATCGTTCAAACCAGAATATATCATTATTAATAACAACTTTTGGTAAGTAGCGCAGTTAATTTGAAAAGTAAGGCAGTTGTGATAACTGGAAGCGAACGGGCAACAGATTTCTAATTCGGCCAGCAAATTGGTGTCATCAGATAAAATCAGATCGAGAATATTGTTTCCTCGTGTTGGTCGAAAGAAACTGGTGAAAACTGAAATCATTAAAAAGATCGATAAAAGTATTATAGATGGAGTTAATTGGTGTCGAATAATTATTCCAGCCGATTTGAAAAAGGTTTAAAAAGCAGTTTATATTGCCCTTGTAATATCTTTGATACATCTAGCGCTATCTACCGCGTACACTTCTGCTTCTTGGTCAAAACCACCAGAACGATAATAGGAAATGAAGCGGTAAGTTTTGTTTGAAGTAGAACTGTCGATAGAAACTATTTCGATGAGTAAAAATTAAGGCGGTACAGAAACGATCTTGTATGAAACGGTATTTTTGATAATGAAGGCCACACCACCACAGCGTGTTCCCAATCATTTCGAACAAAACAAAATCCTGGAGATGAAAATAAATTATCATTATTTACGAAGAGCCACGTTTCAATAACGGAGAGCCACGTTGCAATAACGGAGAGCCTTTCAGTAACAGAAAATACATCTGGGTCGTAAACTCATAAAAATATACTGAGATCGTTTTGTTACTTCTAGATACTATGCACATTTGCTAAGGCCATTCGAATTAAACAAATCTTATAAAATATTTTGGTTTAACTTCAGAGTGTGGTGATGATTTTTTAAACTGCATTCCTAAATGGGTAAAAAATAAATAAAATATGGCAAAATTAAAGAATTATAAAACGAATACAAAATAAACCTAAAAAACTTAAATTTGAGACGATAAATTTTTTGAATTAATCCAATCAAGATAATGCAAAATTGATATAAACATCCAAGAATTTTATAGAATTTAGTCTGTTTACACAAACGTTATTAACAAGGTTACAATTTAATAAACGAAAACGTATTATAGGACGGAATAAGGTGAATTATTGGTATTAATAAATTTTATGTTTGTCTATAAAATTGAAAAATTTTCATTACATGAATTTTCTTGAAATTGTTCAATTTATCCAAGTTCATCATGAAAATTTAATGAAACTGTTATTAACCAAATTCATCATGCGGATTGGTCTTATTGATCAAAACAACTTTAACGCAGGTTTGGTTTGCATAATTTCTTTAAAAAAGGAAAATTAGTTCTTTAGCAAAATTACTTAGTTATTTAGTTGGTGTTCTATTCTTCATCTTTGTTGCTGCCATTTCTTTGTTTTTGAAAACACAACGAATTTTCTCTTTCGTGCTCGATAGTAAAATTCAATTTTGATCTGGGTTCATTGTTGCTTGTTCCGGATCATCGTATGCGACGAAGATCGTCAACAAATCTACCATAAATTTCGGACGGTCTCCAAAACTTTTGCTCTCAAGATGCCGTAAGAAGAAATTGGCGAACAGGACACCGAACGGCTAAACCGTCAATATGATTGTATAACTTGCTTGTGGGAGTGTGGAAAGGTGCATCGGTGGTGCAGATTTGGAGAAGAGATTTGAGATGTGATTTTGGTATTTATAAGGGTACTATGTTTGAGTGATAAACACTATTGATGATAATATCCATTGTGTGTTATGGGAACATTTGTAAACAAGGATACGACATCCAGAGAAGCAATATGATTTGATGGTTTGTTAGTGTTTAAAAGATTGATAAACTCCCGTGAGGACTGGAGTTGATAGTTATTAAGAATGTATGAGGTCAAAATTTTGTTTAGATATTTGGCAAAAGGGTATGTTAAATGTCGGAACTTATTTGATGACAGGTCGATAAGTGTTGTTATTTTTGTTTGTTTTGATATTACCGTAAAAGTATCCAGGAGATTATTCGCGAGGAGTTTTTCTTGAATAATATGTTTTTGTTGATTTTCCTTATTATTGCATTGAGTGCGTCTTTATGTCAGAAATTTGGTCTTTTTTGATTTTTGTGCCATCTTTGTTGCTTTGTTTAAAGAATCTATATAAACCAAACCTGCGCTGAAATGATTTGCGAAAAATCGAAATAAAGCCTATCTGTATTTGGATAAAAGTTTTTATAATTTTTATGATAAAATTAGATAATAATTCTATTTTCAGAAAATTCTAGTAAGAAAAATTGAAAAGACAAAGTATAAATTGATTAATGCAAACTTTAAATTGATTAATACAAACTATTTCGGTAGAATTCATACAATAATATATGTATCTGTACACAATATATACAATATTGCGTGAATGTTACCGAATTGTTGGTAGTAATCACTTTTATGATAATTCGAAGGGGGTTGTTTTTGTGCGTTTTAATGTTGCCATATAGGTATTCCGTATTCAGTTGAATTCATACAAACATATGTGTATATGTACACAAATATACAGTAATGTAAGAGTTAACCGAATTGTTGGTATTAATCAATTTGAAGTTTGTCTTAATTTTAATAAATTAATTTAAAATAATTTGATTGATGCCAAAAATTACTTGAAAGTTTCACTTGGCATCTCCTTTTTCTGCGTCGTAAGTTGTACAACCAGACCAGGTCTTTGCTTTTGAAACCTGCGTTATTTTTTTAAGTCACACCACGTTTCCGTTATTTAGGTTCCTTTAGCCATAGGCAGAAGTCATAGTCTTTTCTTGATTTTGTTGGCACTTGTAGCAAGTGCAATCTTTCTACTGATTTCCTGAGGTGTTGAATGACTAGACTGATATTATTGATGCATGTTGCAAGATTCCTCGTTGACATCTTTCCTGTGATGCACCAATAAAACTCATCCTCTTCAGCATTCTAAGTGTGTTCTAGAGAGGTTTTCTCAAAGCTGGAAACATCATCTGTTCGTTTATGAATATTCAAACTAGCATTGAAGTCATCTTCACTGACTAATTATCTCGTTAATCTCTAGATGAATGCTTCCCCAGATTAGCGTCATATCCAAATTATCATAAATTGAATTGCTAGTGAGTGTTGCATCAAAATCTTCGTAGTCATTATTGCTATTGCTGCCAGGCAAGTTAGCAGAATGATCTATTTAGTAGTCCCACATAATATGAAAAATTTTCGTCTTTGTCACTGCAAACTTCTGCACTATTCTCAAAACCTTCACCGTCGTCTGCGCCAGTAAAGAAAAGCATAATGAAATGAAAGCAGGCGAGTTGCTGGTAGCAAAATCCGACTAATAATCCTATAGCATATCAAAAAATTCTTTGTCATAACTAACTTCTCCAATATCTTCAAAACCTTCATTTCCGTCATCATTTTCATCATTACGATAACCTTCATTGCAGTCTTTTGCAGTTAACACGTGATTCGCAGTCGAAATCATTCGTCGAAAGGTTAAATTTTCAATTGCTAATGTAATTGTTCGTAGTTGAATAAGCTGGTAATATGATGTCAGGAACTTTAGGATATTGTGTAACTCTATCTTTGTTATTTTCGATGTTCAACTAAAAGCCGACGTATTATTCTAATCGCTTCGACTGTGTGTTGATCGATCTTGTAGTTTAGTCTTTTTATTATCTCTGACTTTTTTTCGGTTGCCTGTAATTTCGGCCATTTCTTATGATTCGATTGTCTGTTGATCGATCATTTTGTTCGTATCGGCTGTATGATAATCGATGATTTTAATCATTTTTTCTATAAACGGAACCGGGAAGTCGAACTCATCAAGATCGTTATCTTCATTTCTCAGAGCGTCCTTTCGAGTTGAGATTTCGTTTTCGTAGTTCTTTTCTCAGATTTGTTATATCGAGTTCTTTTAATGCAGACATTCTTTATCGCAGGAAGCTTCGATCTATCAAAAATCTTACTTCTGACACCAATGACCTTGTAACTACCAACACCAATTATATAACTTCTATTTCTAACACCGATGTTGTAGCTTCAAACGATTGTCAAGTTACCATTATTCCGCGGGTTCAAGATTTTCGATGAACACAACTGCTTCAAATGCAAACTTTGTTGAACGTTTATTTGAATGCCAACAGTAATAGAAACATTAAGCTAAGTAACTACATAAATCACAATAACAAATTCGCTTCAACCTCGTTTTCCCGCTCTTCATATGCTACTCATTAGCCAATTTTTTTACCAGTAGCACACATACATGACGGGCACGTTTAACCTCTATTACAAAGATTACAAATATAGCAAAAATAAAAATTAGGATAACAAATAATATAGTGCAATTATAATAATATATCCGGCGCAATTATAATAATATATCTGGCGGTTATAACAAGAGATTGCGAAAGACAAAAATGGATGGCGACAAGTCATATTGTATGAATTCTACCGAACTGTTGGCATTAACCAATTAAAAGTTCGTCTTTTCAATTTTTCTTACAAGAAATTTTATGTCAAGAGTTCAATTTATTAAAACTATTTTAATTTTTTTACAAATCACTTTCAATGGTTTTTCTTAGCAAAGAAAATGTTATAAATTATTGCGTCATCTTGTTTATAACAACAAAAATATTAAATAAAACAAGTTGTTATTGTGATGTTTATTTGTGTTTTTTGATGACAGCAACTTTAAGGTATATTGTGCTGGTGTTTAGAAAGATTATTTTTGCGTTGTGTGCGTTGACTGAGATATTTGGTGTATATATATATATAAATATATATATAAATAAAAATTTTCTGTGTGTAGTGTTTAATGTGTGTAGTGTGTAGTGCACAATTTCTGTGTGTAGTGTTTAAAAACACGTAGTATTTAGACACTCTGCTAAAATTTCTGTGATGTTGTGATTGGATAAAATTGAACATAAGTGCTAGAAAATGCATTAAAACCCCGAAATTACCAAAACTGCTACAATGAAAAAAAAGACAAACCGATAAAATAGGAAAAAGAATATGGTCCAAATAAACTGGTAATATGTTCAGAAACCTAATTAACAAATTAATTAAACTAGTAATTATTTAGTGTTGATTTAAATGATTTAATTATGGTAAAAAACGTGATATCCTCATTAGTTGAATTATCATATCTGAAATTGGATCAATAATTTTAAACTAATTATTGAATGTACTTCAGATCGATACAGATTGAATCCGTTTTTACAGTTCACAAAAAATAAACTGAAAGCATAAAAAAAATAAAAATTCATTAAAACCCCTCAAATCCAGCTGTTGTGACTGTATAGCAAGTATGATCAGAATCAGTCCAAGCATTAGTGCCATCAGATATACATCTTGTAGCTATTCTATCTAAAACACCCTAATAAACAAACAGCAAAACACAAAAAGTTATCAAATGTGTAGAATTTTCTGTAGTATTGTATAATTCAAAATATTGCAAATTTCTAGCAACCGCTTTTTATATAAATTAAAATATCGTTTAAAATACTAATAATAATAATTAAAAACACTGTTTTCTTATATAATATAAAATATTATATAAAAATATGTATATACTAGTAAGGTGGAAAAAAACTGTTTAGTAATGAAGGCAGGCTCGTACTATTTTGTATGCGAAAATTAAAACGCTGTATTATTTGCAAAACAACAATAAAAACTACAGAAGCTTTGCAGAACGTCCAACAGTTGTCCATATTTAAAATTAACAGAAGTTCTGAAAAAAACTTAATGATATTTCTCCGTTAGTTAAGCAAACCTGACTTCGATAGGCGGCATTTGTTTATCCCAATCTTTGATTTTTGCTGACAACTCAATCGTTGTTTGGTTGAGGCATTTCACCATAGGTGGGTGAAGAGGTGCTGTTACGATTGCATCTCTATGAACAAACTATACCAAATAGTCAAGTATAGTATTTTCATACAGCTGTAATAGTGAAAACACTAAATTCTAGGTTTCCATTTGTAATTAAATGTTATATTCAAATATCATAGTAGCAGCGATTTTAAATTTGCAAAATATTCAGTTGGAAAGAAATGTTGGAGTTTTAGATTATCGATTTGAGTAAGAAACGATTAGCGAATGTTCGAATAATTCAGTGGTTCTATTACTGCTAGGACTGAAATTAACTTATAAACAAGTCTGTGTTTAAAACACTTGTCCTTTATCAGAAATCAGTGATGGAATAACTAGATGATAATGCAAAACAAATTTCACACATATTGCAAACGATCAAACTAATTGTGTTTTCACATACTCAAACCATTCAGAAGCAATAAATTTATCGCAAAAATTTGGTGTCAGAGGGAATTTTAGATAAATTAAAACTTTCATTAATCAAATATGACGGCACTAGATTAAATTTGAGAAAAAAAACTAAGGAAACGAAACCTTGACTCAAAAGGAGTGAAGGCAGTTTTGATAAACCACCATAAGGACGCTATCAGTTTTGATAAACCACCCAAAGAACCCTCTGATAAACGAAGGTAACGATCCTGATTAGTTCGACTTTCCGAATCCTAAGAAACGGCTCTAAAAGAAACTGCATATCAATAACGTGCTGAGTTGGATAGGCTGTTGCAGTCATTAATGATATCGATATAATCAATCAATCTTCGTTTTGCGTCCAGAGATCCGGTTCCCCGAGGTAGGACGTGGTTTTCTTTGCCATCAACTTTTGCGCCAAATTAGACGATCAGTTGTATTCATTTTATTTAAATTTAGAGCTTTCATGTCTTGCTCGATTGTTTGCGACCAGGACTTCTTTGGACGGCCTTTGGGACGTGTGCCAGGTACTTCAACATCTGCAAGAGAAGTTATGGCACTGTTTCCACTTCGTTTGACATGACCA